GGATCATGCTCAATTGGGCAACCTGTATCTACGTCTCTCAAAATTTTTCGAAATTCCTTAGCAGGTTTACTGAATGCTTCTTTTAAATCTTTGATTGTTTCGATTTGAAAATCTGTCAGTGGTTTACAATTGTATGTACATGCAATTTTAACAGTTCTTTTCTTAACCTTTTTACCACTGTCTACATCATCCTTATCTTTTGTGTCGCTAGTAACAACATTATCATTTTGTACATCTTTTTCTGCATCTTTGTTTAAAATTTCTTCATCATCGTCATCGAAACAACCATCAATAAGTTTTGCAAAATCATCATCGGCTAAAATTAAACTATCATTATTGACAGTTGATGGGGCATGTTTATAGCATGCTTGGTAAAAGTGTGGCTCACAACTGGCCACGTGATACGAATCACCAAATTCCCCATTGCCAATGTAAGTATTATTATTAACTTTTTTAATCACCCCAAGATGCATTCCAGCAAAATGTCTACGTATATTTAATATTACAGTAACAAGTCTCCTAGCTGCAATTAAATTAATACCTGAATGCGTGACAGCAATTGGCAAAGACTTGTCAATATCAAAAGCAACTTTCAGTTGATTTTGTACTCCTATATTTTTAGCAAGTTTTTGTCTAATTATTGCTATGTATCTGTTCTTTAGATCAATTTTTGGTTCGGCTAGATTGTATCTTGCTCTTCTGTTTCGTCTTAATTTTAGAAATTTTTCTTATAATATGCACTGTTCTTCTGCCTCTTTTGCAATATTCTTGCTATGATTTTAGATCTTTTTTTAGCTGATACACTTCTTGTTGGTGGATTTAAGTTACGGTTTATTCTATATTTTTTCTTAGCTTCGCATTTTTAGTGTCAGCCACAGCAGCATAATGCTCTCTAGCATTATCTTTTATTTGCTGACTGTGAGAGGCGTAATAGTCATTCATAATTTTTTTCCTTTGTTTTAAATTAGAAGCATAATTATTGTTAAAACCTTCTAATCTCTATTGACGATTAGCAATATAATTATCTTTAAATGCCTCTAATCTCTCTTGTCACGATTAGCAATACTAATCTCTCTTCACGATTAGCTATATAATTTTTATTAAATGCCTCTAATCTCACTTCACGATTAGCAATATAATTTTCTTTAAATGCCTCTAATCTCTCTTCACAATTAGCAACATAATTATCTTTAAATGCCTCTAATCTCTCTTCACGATTAGCAATATAATTATCTTTAAATGTTTCTAATCTATCTTTACGGTGAAAGGCATGATATCTTCTTGAATACTCTGATTCTTTTATTTGATTTTTTGCACGATATTCTTTAAGATAATCTGAAATTTTTTGTTTATTTTGGGCACGATATTTTTTTGATTTTGCAAGGTTTTATCATGATTTTCATAATAGTCGAGTCTCGACTTATCCCTTTTTTCCTTTAACTGTCTATCTCTGACAGCTATATCTTCCTGAAAAGTAGCAACTTCAAACTGTGTGACGTCACACAACTCTGGAGGGTTATGGTCCCACACAGACCAATTATTACATTCTGGGGGATCAGAAAGAACAAAAGGGTCTGCCCCATCAGCAGCAGAAGGTACTACATAATCTATGACATCACATAACTCTGGGTTATGATCACACACAAAGCCAGAAATAACTTCCTGCTCTGTAACATCATCACACAACCCTTCATTAAAGATGCCACCACTGCATTCTACAGTATTGGAACCTAAAACAGGCTCTGCAGTGATATCATACCTGTCATCATCACTACACTTTGCTTTATGCCTAGCACTTTTTTCTTTCATTAGTTTTCTAAGCTTCTTAGCAGAAACTTTCCCTATTAAGTTAGGCATGGCTTATATAGGTATAACACTGTGACAGTACGAGAAAATCAACCCGGTGTTAAAAGTAACTTTCAGTAATTGAAATTTGATTACTATTATTAAATGTATAGTAATATCAATGCTTATCTTTGAAAATCTTGTAATGACCAGCACTTTAAGATAAATTCAAGATCAGCTTCAAGTTCAACACTTTGAAGTCAACTCTAGATCAGAGAGTAGCACTGTCCACAATTAATAGATAGCACGAGTTCTACAACTGAGCATGCGCAAACCACACCCCCTTAGAGCCACGCCCAGCTCATTATACAGTACATTCTATAAATTTTAAGTATCCTTACAACTGATAAGACATTAGAATATAATTATTACAGAGTATATAAACAATTAAACATACAGAAAATGTATAATTAAAACTGTAATAAGGTGATGCAATATTCATTTTGAAACTGCTTGCCACAGTGACATTAGGGCAAGTAAGTGATCTTCAAGTTCAGCAATCATTACCTGTACAAAATAAAACACTATGCAATCAATAACTAAAGAAAATAATGAATCTCTACCTGATCTGACTCGCTTCCATTGCTTCCATTTTCATTTTTCAATTTTACAAAATTTACATACGTTTAATTAGACCTGCAGATCTGAGCATGCGCGACCACACCCAAATTTTGGAGCACATGCTTCTTTAATTAACAAAATGGCGGCATGCAGCTAAGATGGCTCAATCAAGCAGTCACAGTATCACTTTTTCCTTAAGTGACGAATGATCTGATGGGACATGGACCTGCGCGTAGACTGTTGGAGTAGATTGGTGTAAGAATTATCTTTGTAGCATCAACTGATACTGAGATACACACCGACAACTGGATTGACAGGACTTCTTGATGATGATGATGATGATGATGATGATGATGATGATGATGATGATGATGATGATGATGAAGATGAAAAAAGGTGGCTGAACAAAACGGCCGGTTCGCCGATTTCTGGCTTTTCTCCTAGACAAGGTCTAGAGCCACGCTAAAGGTACCAATGGACTCCTCTGGTCAAGATAAGATCCTCTATAAAGTCTGGTAAGCATAGGGGCTCGTTTTCCCGGTATAGCAAGGCTGCAAAAGTCGTGGCAGCCATTTTGCTTGGGGAGGGCGTTACTAGAATGCGGATCAGTGCGGATTGCTGCGGATCGTTCCGCACGCTGAACCAAGCACGTGAACGCGCGGAACGTGCACGGGCGTGTGCCTAGAATGCGGATCAACTCCCAAGAATCATAGATATACACCATAACTTCCCGTGGATCAGTCCTCTTGTTCTTCTATTCCATTCAATCTTTATTTGTTGCAATGTTTAACTCTTTATAAAGTAAAAATAACTATTTTTAACTGTAATAATTTTAAACTTTGAATGTACGAGATTTCAGTGATGATATCAAAAGCCTTCAGTCATTGGTCATAGAATAGATTATACTGCATCTAGATCTAGTTGCAATGAAATGAGTTACAATCTGCATTAAAAACAAACATATAGTTGTAAAATTTAAACAATAAAAGTCGCCTCACAAATAACAATTATTTTCATTGTGTAAAAATGATTATATATTATGATATTACCAAAGATATTCTATTGGCCAAAAATTGCTATGACCTAGCTATATCATTTTTCCTCACAAAGATATCTTCATTTGCATTGGGATGCGTGTACAAATATATTTTTTAAAATGAGGTCTTTCATGTTGTGCATTGCTGCATGCTCCACATCAAGCAAGTACTGAATCTTGCTTGATAGCTATGTCAGTAGTAAATCCGAAATTTTGTCAGAATAGATACAACTCAGTTTAACAAGAGTACATAATACTCTTGGTCAATAAATGATGGAGTCAGCGTTTTTTTAGTATGAATATTATTCAGTGATTCTAGTTGCAGTACTCAAAATATTAATTAATTATTATAGATGTATTTTTTGACTAATACTTAAATTAGTTTTTTTTTAATTTTACATTACTATCTTTATTGCTTGCTTTTAAAAATA